GAGGAGGAGGGAGAGGTCGTGCGCTCCCTCCCCAGCGGTGTGGGTGAGGGGGTGAAATGGCTGACTGGTGGGGGCAGAGGCGGGAGAAGGCGGCAGGGGTCGGATGACACCGAGAAACCGGTCAATAAAGCAGCAGATCGAATAAAATTCGTATAAACGTGAAGGGATGCACGCTGCCGGAGGACTCCTGGCTATGTTTGTGGAACCGTGGGCTCCGAGCTGACCACTTTCCTTCGGGAATGGCAGCCGGGGTTGTAATAGAGCGGCGACACGAAACGTGAGGGTGGTTGGGAACAGCACGGGGATCCTCGGATATCGTAACATCCCTGTGCCCAGGCCCAGCTCCCCAGCTCAAAACTGAATCGTGTTCATGGAAGAGGTTCAGGTTGTTGTGGGACCAGCACATTCCACCCTCTCTCATGAACAGAAAGCAGGCACGATCGGTCCCGCTCCCTCAGGCTTCGCAGGTTTGCAGGGCAGCCCTGTGCCGGGCCTTGCTAAACCTCCCTGCGCGGCTCCGGCTCAGTGCCGTGCTCCTGAGGGGACAGGGCACAGGGGGAGCTGGGCCTTTGGTCAGGCCTCATCTGGCCGTTCTTATTTTCCATAATGAGCTGGATCTCATAACGCAGAAAGAAAAGGAGAGTGAATCCCCAAGGTCACCTTGTTTGCCTCAGTCACACTGATGTACTAAACCTAGGTTAACAATAATGTTCAGATAAACCGTGGTACTGATAGAATACAATAATGCATTTCCAAAATAGTATTTCACATGGCCGTGATTTTAATATTACTTACATAGAGAAATTTAAAAAACCCCGAACAGTAGCACTTAGTCAAAATAAGTATATCTAGTTGCTGTTTACAAATAGCAAAGCAACCGTGCTTTTTCACAAGAGGAATACACAAGCTTTCAGTTGTAATAGTGGTAGTTTTTAACATGTCTTATGTGTTCTCTGAATTTTGAAGCGTTAACACAGTTTCTTACATAAAAAGCATTCTTGGTATGCAAGTAATCTCTGCTTGTTCCACTGTTGCTTTTTTTAATTTGGCATGGTGACCTCTCACACCAAGGACTGAGTGGTTGCAGTAGGTTACACGGATGCCAGATCAGCTTGGGGAAAAAGCATGGTCCCTGCAACCTGACTGCAAGAGGTGCTGCGTTCAGCACTTGCTCTAAAGATTGTTGTCTGAAAAGCGGATTCATTTCCCGGTGTGCAACGAGCCTATAATCTCACACCCAGGAGAGACATTATTTATTTCATATTTGTGCAAAGGTGGGGGCTAGGTGGTAATTCCACAAAGCTAGCACAGCACACCAAAGAAAACCAAGGTATTTTTTCTGTTACATGATTAGTAAAAACCCACCTAAATTTACATTCATTAGTTAGTAGTCACCATCTTATCTACTATTGGCCAGTCCTATTCAAATTAGCCTCGCTCGCTATGTAGATTAGCACACATGCTCCTTGCAGGGGGGGCAAGTTCTTCCAGCCTGGAATGGAGTCGGAGGTCATGATCTCCCCCTGCCACCTTTACCTTTCCTCCAGTTCATGCTGCTTTGGCAATCATCCGGCCTTTGACGCCTTCTGGAACAGGATGTTTCTTTTTATCAGTCACATCCTACATTTCTTAGGTCCAATTATCCTGCTTGTTATCTCAAGAACGTTCTTTTTCTCTCCGATGGACCTTGAGTATTCTTGCCAAGTTGGCAATGCACACGAAGCATCCTCAAAATATCAAGGCCTAATTGTTCCAGGGTGTCCTTACTCCATGCATGCCAACTGTGTGCCATTCTGATTACAGCCTTACTTGTTAATTTGATATATACAAAACACATCTCGCACAAAATAGTCAGACCATTCTAAATCTCTGAGTTATTCTTCAACGGATAAGATTTAGAAACTAAATTATTAAGTGAAGCTACAACTTTTCCATATCTCATTCACTTCATTCTTCCTCAACATAACATGCTGACAGCATAGATCCTACTTTTGTCTTCTGAAATCCAGATTTTAAAAAATTTCCGCATGTTTAATTTGTCTCTAAACACAAGATGGCAGCATTTTATGTAGTTTACCATTGGACATTGGGAAGAGCTATAGAGGTAGTGGAGGAGTTTACTCTTTGAACAGTAGAACTAATGGAAGTTGCAAACATTTATATTGCAAATCTGATCTTGGTGAAGGCACCCTGCAAGCACGGCTTTTGGGGCTTGCAAAGTCAAGCAGGCTCACCAGATTGCATACGCAGATGTTTGAAAGAGCAAAGTAATAAAACTGAAATGCAGAAAATAATAATTTTCTCACTGACACCAGTAATATGCTTAATGTGCATGTACACAGATAGAGGCACTGTGATGAACCTAGTGATGTATTGGATAGGTTGGACTAGCAACATTTTAAATTTTGTTGTGGAAGCTTGGCATATTTTGAAAGCTGCTTTAGATTAATAATTTCAGTACTTTTCTCATTATTATTTTTTCCATGAGCAGATTGTGAACATCATAATTTGTTTGAAATACAAATTCATTTTCCTTGAGGAGATGAAAAAATGTCATCCATGGCAAAATGAATGAGATTAAAAATTGGCTGGACTCATGAATCATATTCTTCACAATTTTCTGGGGTATAGGGAAGCCCCAGCAAAGCTAGTGTTCAAAACCAAGATCTGTGTCTCTATCTGCACAGATTTTCTGACTCAGATTGACCACCTTCCTTTTTCCCAACAGCCATTTATTTTGTTTCTGCATGTGGGAAGTGCAACCTACTCCTTTGTAAAATTTTGAAGAAAGAGTTAAATAGGAAACTGAGCCAATTAAATTATAATTTAATAAAATACTTGGGATCTACCAACTTCTTGGGCAATAGGACTTGCAGAAAAAGGGAAATGCAGGTTTTGTGACATTTTGTGGCTAGCTGGGAAAGCCCAGGAGTATGAGTGTTGCTGTGGCTGATAAACTTCAGCCATGCATACCCCTTCATTTTTGGCACGCAATGGCCACAGCCATGGATGTATGAAAGAAAGTGTAGTCCCCAAGTGTCTTGTCACCTTACTAGTGGGAGTTAACTTCATAGAAATCTTTCTCTCTTCACCCTTGTTATCTTCCTCAAATTGGTGCTTTAAAAAAATACTACTTTTTTCTTCTAGACACTCTGATGCAAAAATGTTTCTCCACTAGATTCAAAACCTTTGTGGGACAGCCTATGGTGTGACTTACACATGGAGGGTTTTTGCCTTAAAAGGAAAAATGACTGACTGTTCCTCCATCTGCCATTAAACCTTGCAAAGAAAGAGAATTTGAGACATCCAGCAGCCTTTGAGGGTCTGTCACATCCCAATTTCTCAGGACAATGACTCAGGTTTGCCGATTCCGAGGTCAGGATTAAAGTGAAGCAACACCAGGGATCCTTTAACTCACAAAACTAAACTTTTATTTGCTCACAGCAAGAATTGGCATACTCACAACAAGAATTGGCATGAAATTATGTCAGTAAACTGTGTAACATGCTAGCCCTATATCACCAAACATATACTACAGACCTGGCTTATTTGGGAGTCAGTTCAGGGAAGACAATAAGGAGACCCCTCCTGTTGGGTCAGGATGTTGGGAGCAGACCCCCTTGCTTTCTAGACTCCTTCTCAGAGATGAGCCTGGGGGTGGCTGGATCCGCTCCGAGTCCCAGACTTGGTCAACGGTTTATGGCTAAAGGGATGAGGTGTAGGGATTGTGGAAAAGGAGAGAGAAAGAGGAAGCAAGGCAGAGAGACAGAAAGGAAGAGAAATTTTTCACCGGTCTTGGGTCCAGTGTTGGTCCAGTCAGCCGAGGGGTCTGGGTCTGGTGGGCTTGCGCCCCTGGGGCTTCGGTTTGTGCCCTTTTATCATCCCTGCCCCTCCTTCGGGCGGGCACTTGCACTTATTAAGCTACTTACGTGTCATGAGTGGTTTGTGAGCCTTTGGGCTTGGGGGTCGTTTGGGGAGTAACTTTCCCTTCCCTGCATGGTGAGTTGCCGTGTTCACCCCATCAGAACAGGGAGCTGTGCACCCTCCAGCACAGCCTCCCCCTCCTGGTGCTGAGCTGGGCTGACCGGCTTTTTTTCACCTGTGGTTCCTTGCTAGGCAGAGTTCCTTGTTGTGCAGAGTTCGTCGTGAAGCAGAACTTGCCCCACCACAATGTTTGAGACATTAACTCTTTCAGTCCTTCACAGGGTCCACTTCAGACCCCCCACCCCTGAGGCAGTGATCATGCAGAAGGCCCCATCTAAATCCTAGTTTATCAATTGAAATGCATCTCCCAAGTGTGTATTTACCAGATCAGCTTCTAAAACTAACATGAACAAGCCAGGAACCTTGTCTACTAAATAGATGTATCACTTAGGCGAACCTGGCACCAAATTTAATATTGTACCAGGCCAAGCAAGTGCAAAAGAGCAGAGCAAACTAACCCTGCTCTCCTGGCAGCCCTGCTTTTCTACTGAAGGGCAAATTGAGGAGCTTGTGATGTTTTCAGCTTGTGACCTATAGCCATTAAATTATCCATCATATAGGGGTGTGCACTGACACTAGAAACGGTAATAGCAACTGAAGCATAATTCTGGTATTTTATCACTGAGGGAAGTTTCTTTCTGCTGCCCTCACTGGCACTTCACTAACAGATAAGTTCCTGAATCAACTGCTGGCAGCAGAGAGAGAGGTTTTTCTCCCCCATCTTCACCACATTTTCTGCTTTCCTGCAATCCATCTAACAACTTTTGCTTCCTTAGCCGTGAAGAGCATGACATGTTAGACTCATGCAGCCATTTCAGACCCTTATATTGCTCACCATGGAGAAGGTAGTATCCTGTTCCCCCAC